TTTGACTTGTAGCATGGTCTTTGCAGAGGACAAGTTTCCAGAACCTCTGTGATGGATGACAGAGGTTCTGGAAACTTGAATCTTGTACGATTGAGCTTCTTATGTTGATTTTCCTCTGTTGTCTTCTGTGACATATCAGCTTCTGTCAGTACTTGCTGTTTTACTTTTTCTATACTTTTACATTCAAGGAATGAGAGCTAACAGAAGCCCTTGAATTCCTAACCATAACCATCATGTCTGTGGGCAACCCTTTTAGGTAAGCTTTCATCTTTTCTTTCTCCTTTCAAGCCACATGTCCCACTAAATTCAGTTTTTCCATGAAAAGTCGCATGTAGTCTCTCATTGACAAGTTTTGCTTCTTAACGGTCCGAAACTCTTCTTCTATGCGATCCATCTCTTGTTCATTGCAATATTCCTCCAATACTTTTTCTTTAAACGTGGTCCAACTCATCTTGGCTAGCTCTTGGGACTCTGTGGTTGATATGACAATATTCCACCAGGTAAGGGCTGCGCCCCTTAGCATTTGAGAGCCAATATTCGCCTTTTGCCCCTCATCACATTCACAAGCCCGGAAGGCTTGCTCGATCTCTTGAAGCCAGTTCATGCATGCCACAGGATCATCTGACCCCATAAACTTTGGTGGCTTGCAACTTAGAAACGTCTTGTAGGAGCAAACTCTTCCCACTTCTCTTGCATCAATTGTTGCTAGTTCTTGGGTTGGGATTCCATTTTCGGTACCCCCGGACCCCACATTAGGTACGTTCTCGGCAACCGCTTCATGCTTACGGTTGTTGGCATCTCTATCCTCCAACATTTTTAAAAAGAATTCTTGCTGTTGGGCCATAGCTCTGCTCATAGTGTTCATCATAGTGCCCATCATTCTTGACTATGGGGTTTCCTCTTCCATCACAAGGTTAGAGGTGGCAAGGTTAACTTGGGGAATGTGGTCAACCACACCGCCCAAGATGTTTTGCCTGGGATGTACTCTTGCGATCATGGTCCGTGGCGGCTGATCCGCGGTAGACTCAGTCACTGTGTGACCCTCCGGTGAGGTATCCCGTCTACTCCGAGTGTTCTCCATAAAATATGCTATCCAAGAGAGTGGCAGAGAGTTAGGATAGGGAAATGAAATATGGGATCAACATAATACAGTACTAACACAATCTTTAATTTTGTAACAAAAGTAAGCCCAAGCATGCTTATGTAACAACTTACTCAAAATAACATTAGCTAAGTGGAATTTTGAACAAGTTATACATAAGGATCATCAACACCATCGCTACAATTTATGAATCATGCATTTCTGTTGATTCTAAGGCTCTCCTATCTTAAATGTCCTACCCATAACACACAAATTAACACTTATAATTTAATTTTAAGTCTAGGCTTCTTAGTTCCGTACCTAGTTCGCTTAAACTAGAGATTTGATACAAACTTGTAACACTCAAAAAAAATATAACGAAAGAAGGAGCAAAACGCGGAAAGGAGATAAATTTTTCCGACAAAACAAACGGGCAAGCTAAATTTTAACTAAAACAAAAATCACCCAACAAAGGGGAGGAGTAAAGCGTTTACAAAACAATAAATGAGCTGACAATTAACAACCTATTAATCTAAACCACTCTGAGCCTAGATTAGGAATGGGTGTTTCTACCAACTCCACAAAAATATACAAAGATCAACCACACTGCAACGCTCGAAGCATCAAGTGCTTTTTCTACAAAAATTTCTATGAACTACATTCTTCTCAAACCTTTGATGCCCCTTTGCTAAAGGAACCTGATAAGCAAGGCATTTCAAGATAGAGCGTTAGGCTTACGCCTAGTGAGTTCAAACAATAGGATAAATATAACTATAAAACCTTTTATACAAGAAAGTATATAAGTATACGACGATAACGTAGCTCTAAACGGTATAAGAGGAAGGTAAGTCCTAAGTAAATCGTGGCAGAGCCAAAACATTCGGAGATGGAGGGGGAGACCCGATTTACTGTTGATTATGATGGAACACAAAGTTTGTCATAGATCAACGTTATAGAGTATCACTTACATGTATAATACCATTGACATCAACCTAATCCAGTCATGTAGTCGGTCGTGATCATAAGCTCTTTACCTCGGAAATTACATAATCATCGTAATGCCTATTTCCGAGTGGAAATGAGAAGATGATTTGGAAATTACATAATAATCCCAATGCCTAAGTCCAACTTACACCATCCTTCACACCAAATTCAATAAAATGACTTACATGCTTATAAATCCATTACATTTTGTGATTTACTTAATTTCGGTACTTTAAGCATGTTAATACCTATTCACCAATGAGATTTTACGTATGTTTTTAGTCAAACAAAATACCCCCATTTTGTCAATAATTAACTCCAAACGGAGAACATGAGGGTCTTAGAGTTTCAAGGTCAACAATACTTGAAAGTATGCAATCCACCTAGCGAATAAACAATTTTTCTAACTATTTCTATCACTATAATGGAACTCTCAAGTTCAATAAACTTCCGGCCTAAAGTCTATAATTTTAAACAACTAGAGTATATAGTAAGAACACACACCACCACACTTAATTATAAGGTTAACATAGAAGGGAATGGGATGAACTCACCTTGTAGGGTTCAAAGGAAATCCCAAGAATCTGGACAGTTGCTTGCGGCTGCTATAAACTTCTTGGTGTTTGGCGAAGCACAACAGCAGTTGCTATCCTTGCGAAGGAGACGATGAAAAACAGCGCCTTACGGCCTGCTGTTTGCTGCTTCTATTTGCTGTTGCAAAGGCACGGTTGCAGCTGCTATTTTGGCGAGGAAGACGGAGAAAAACAGCGCCTTACGGCCTGCTGTTTGCTACTGCTGTTTGCTGTTGCGAAGGCACGGTAGCAACTGCTGTTTTGGCGAGGAAGAAGAAGAAAAACAGCCTTACGGCCTGCTCTTTGCTGCTATTGTTTGCTGATGCGAAGGCACGAAGACAGACACGAGCAGGTACAGGGAATGACATCGTCGTGCAGGCGCGGCGCAAGGAGCACAAAAGCGTCTGTTGCTGCTGCGAGTGGTCTGAGGTGGGCGCAGGCAGTGCCTGCTGTTGCTGTTGGTGATCGTGGCACGCAGGCAGCGCCTGCTATTTGTTGTTCATGATCGTGGCGCGCAGGCAGTGCCTGCTGTTGCTGTCTTGCTGTTACTGCTGCTGTCCGTCGAAAAAAGAGAAGACAATAGCACACATCGGCTGTTGTCTTGCTGTTGCTGCTTCTGTCCCAAAAAAAATGAAGAAACAACACTCAACGGCTGCTGTCCAATGAGACACAACAATGAAAGCTGCAGGAAATATCTCGGCAGCGCCTGTTGCTGCCTGGCGTGGCATGGCAGCGTCTGCTACTGCCTGAATGGATACAATACGCAGAAGGGCTAGGGGTGCAGCAAGAACGGGGCTGGAGGCACGGTGCTGGCATGGCCGGCGCTAAGGCAGGCTCAACCGGCGGTGGTTGCAGCACTCAAAAGAAGATCGATGCACGACAGGGGCTTTTTCAGTTGGGGGGAGTTTCCTTTTTCCAAGTGAAGGAGATGATTCCCTTAGATGTTTCTTCCACTCACATCCTTGCCCTCCCTCTGAAGTCCTATTCCCAAAATCAAGGTAGAGGTTAAGGACCTCGATGGAATGGAAGGGACTACTAGAGAAAAGATGATTACAAAAAAAAGGTGGGTAGGACAGCCAAAAATGTATAAGGTACACCCCCCCTTTTACTCTACTGCTTCCAAAAAAGGCTTTTCCCCTAAAGTTTATTTATAAAAGTATGCATATATACATATATATATATATATATATATAAAATTTAACAAAGAAAGGCTTAAAAGAATTAAGGTGGCTAAAGCTCAAAATAGATAGGTGAAAACCATATTTCCCTAAAGAGGCGAAAACCCTTGTTGTGCACGGAGCAGGGAAAAGGGAAAAAATTTCGGGTGTTACAATCCTTCCCACCTAGGATTCAATTTCGTTTTCAAAATTTTAGCTCACTTGAAAAAGTTAGAGTAACGCCTCTTCAAATCTTCCTCCGCTTCCCATGTTATGTTTGACCCTCGGTGATGTTTCTATTGCACTTTAACCAAGATAATTTCTTTGTGCCTCAACACTTTGGTCTTCCTTTCTAAAATGGCTTCCGGTTCTTCAACACACCGATTGTTTTCATCCACATGAATCTCCGAAAGTGGGATCACACTTTCTTCTTCCGTTAAGCATTTACGAAGGTAACACACATGTAATGTGTTATGGATTCCCGCCATTCTGGTGGTAGTTCTAGCTTATAAGCTTGATGCCCCACTCTTGCCAAGACTTTAAACGGCCTAAGAAAACGGGGGCTGAGTTTTCCACGCTTTCCAAAGCGGATAACGCACTTCCATGGAGATACTTTTAGCATAACGCGGTCGCCCACTTGGAATTCTATAGGTCGGCTCCTCTTATCTGCATAACTCTTTTGTTGATCCTGAGCCGCCTTTAAGCGCTCTCGAATACACATCACTTTGTCGGCCGTCTCTTGCACGATCTCGGGACCGGCGAATTGTTTCTCACCCGCTTCTAACTAGCATACAGGAGTCCTACACTTTCGTCCGTATAAGGCCTCAAAAGGTGCCACCCCAATACTGGAATGATAACTATTGTTGTAGGAGAATTCAACTAGGGGTAGGTGAGAATCCCAATTCCCGCCAAAGTCGATAACACACAATCTAAGCATGTCCTCGAGGATTTGAATGGTCCGTTCACTCTGTCCATCTGTTTGGGGGTGGTATGTCGTACTCAACTTTACTCTCGTGCGTAATTCTTTCTACAAGCCACCCTAGAAATGGGAGGTAAACCGGCTATCTCGATCTGGGGTTGTTTCTGCCTCGTTCTTTGTCATTTGGAACGATCTACCCGTGGCTCCACTCTGGCCTCCCCTCAGTGCACTAGGCCTTCCACGGTTACTGGGAGTATTTCCTCCCATTGTCAGACGAGGAGCACTCAATTGTGGACAATTTGGTCGAATGTGGTCAGGTGAATTGCACTGAGAACATCTTTTGGGTGTAGTGCAGTGCCTTGACAAATGCCCTGTTTCTCCACAACGATAACATCTCTTTGGTTCAGAGGGACAACTTCCCTGGTCTACTTGTTGACACTGCGGGCAGGTTTTAACAGAAGGTAACTGAGAAATACGATTATCTGATTTAATAAATTTGGGTCTTCGAAAACTAACTGAAGACCCTTCCCACTTTCTTTTCTCAACAAATTTCTCTTCACCCTGCCGATTCTTATTTCTTTTAGTAACTTCGGCAGCATTAACGGCTAAAGTGAAAGTTTTAGGGTTCATTGCAATCACGAACTCTCGAATAGAAGGTTTCGGACCCCAAATATATCTTTCTACTTTTCAGGATTCTGAAGATACATAATGCTCAGCAAATCAGGAAGACTCAATAAATTTGTCGGTATAATCCCGCACAGATTTGTTCCCTTGTTCTAGCTTAAGAAAATATTCCTCCATTTGTCTTACTGCTGTCGTAGGACAGATTCTTTGCAGTATATTCGGTTGTGCCGAGGACTCCACATCCCACCAATATAAGGCATTAGATTTGAGCATAGATACTGCAAATCTTACCTTATCTTCTTCAGAACACCTACTAGTGTTAAGTACTGATTCAATCTCTTTTATCCAGCACATTGCTTTAACTGAATCTCTCTCTCTCCTGAAAAGGTTGGAGGTTTACATGTCAGAAACATCTTTATATCTCCTCCCAGATTATTGCTGCCTGCTGAAGGAGCTAGAGGATTAATTCCAACTCGCTCAGTTTCTATTCTAGCTGGCAGTCCCATA